AATCCAAAGTTAGTGCATGTTCCTCTTTCAACACACACTGTTTCCCAGTATTCAGTCCAGTTACCTCCTCAGCTCAATGGACGGGTCATGGCGGCGGTCCAGACTTTGCCTGTTACCATCAAGTCACCTGTTCTCCCAAACGGTCATTTCCTGCAGATCCCTCCGAATGCTAAAGTTCGGACTCTGCCAGCCACTGCGCTCCCACAGTCCATCAAATGCCGGATAATGAGCTCTGTGAGTAACACCCCTAACCTCGAAAAGGGTCCACCAACTGTTGTGCTTGTTTCCCCTGTGAACTCTGTAAAGCTAAATTCTGACCAGCAAGTGGTTTCGGTTACAAAGCCAAGTCAAATAGAGAAGACCCTGTTTCAAAATCCCCCTGCAAACTTGCAAACACCTGTTTGCGTTCCTAAAACAAATGAAGAAGTGAACACTCCCATTAAATGGGTCGTCCAGGAGGGAACAGGTGCATCCGCTCCTTGCCTTGTACCTGTAACGACATCGAATGTCAGCTCTGACACCATAAAAGCAGTCAAACACGTCAACTCAGTCGGGACGGTAAATGAAATCGCACCGAGCAAACCCACACCTCCTCAGACCAGCCAAGAAAAGATCACCCCAGGCAAAGACAATGCCCTGGTCATGTGCAATGGAAAGGTCTATTTTGTGGCAAAGAGAAATTCGGAGATTGCCAAGGATGTGATGATCAGTGAAGGTGGTAAGAGGGGGGTTGTCAGCGCCTCTCCTGCCCTGCCTGCCAGCTCCGCTCTGGGGTCAAACTCTCCTAAGCAAGACCCAAAAATAAACGTAAGTGAAATCATTGATCTCTGTGATGATGAGGAGGAGACGTCCACGTGTCTGGGAGGTGCCCCGGGAAATTTGCCCTCACCGAGTCAAACAGAGGTGGATGAGAGCGATGAAGACTCTAATGTAATATTTGTGTCATATATTCCACCCAAGTCAGAGACTCATGCTGGTGATAAAGTGGAGAAAGCTGCCTCTCAGAACAAATGTGAGGAAGTTCAACACACAGAGATAAACGCAAAGTCTGTCTCTCAGAACGAAGGGGAAAAACTGGCACATGCAGAAATGGAAAAAGATGGTGGTCCGAATAATCCTTCGGCCAAAACGGTTGATGAGATGATGGATGAGCAGGTCGAGGGAAATAAAAGAGCTGAAAGGACCTTGTGCTGCCTTTCTGAAAATGTGAATATGGAGGCAGATAAAGACTTGGAGGGTGGAAGTCCACCTGAGACGAGATGTCAAGATGATGCAGCTGTTGCTGAAACCGTCAGCATTTTGGAACCACCCCAGAATGTCTGTATTAAAGCCACTGATAATACTGAAAAGGTAATATACCACAATTAACCATGTTCTATGTGAGTTGTAATGAAATAACTTTCACTAGGCTGACATTTTAATGCATTCTTCTCTCTTCTGTCACAGGCCTTTGAAAAGAGTCAACCCAAGAGTGACTGTCAGCTAAGAAAAGAATTTGGCATCGCCTCTGATGTACAAATTTGCTTGCAAAGAACAAAGCTGACTGTGAAGCCAGATCAACTGACAAAGAGACTTATCATAAACAAACGCACATTAGACGGCCTTCGTAAAGTGATCCAGGAGTCCAAGTTGCAGTCAAAAATACAGCAAATGATGAAGGCAAGTTTACATATTCATGCATCCAAATTGTGTTGTAAATAATGTACAGTGCATGTACATATTTCCTACAGCAGCGTTTATCAGACTGGGGCTGCAGCCCACTGTGTATTACAGAAGATATTATTTTAATATATTTCTAAATCAGTGTTGTTGTTGTTAACTAAAACTATTAAAGATAGTTTTAGTAATTGTAAAACTGAATTCAATTAAAATAAGATTAGATGAAAATCTAAAAAACTAGAAATGCTGCCTTGGCAACTAGCTGAAAATAAGTTAAAATGATTAAAACTAAAATAAAAATAAAGTTAAACAGATGTTAAAAAACGAATAATGACAAAAACATAAAATAAAATTTCTGAAATGTAAGCTAAAATTAAAATGAAAACTGGAAATATAAAAATAAAAGCCAATTCAAAAAATGTTAAAGACAGCTCTAGCTTATGTGTCCTTGGAAAAAAAACTTTCCTAATTTAATTGATGGATGAAGGAAGCCATTTAAAAAAAAAAAGATTCTCTCATGTCAACCATTTTTTCACTTGTTTTGGAAGAGATGTGAATGTGGGAGTAACGGCATTGATTTATTTCATGCCAATTTGTTCAATTGCTAGGTTCCCTACACAAAAATGGAGGAGGATGAAGGCCTGAAGGTCAAAAGAAAAAAGCAGGAACAGGATGGGAGTCAAGATATTCCCTCTCTAAACTCCACACACATTTCACCTGCCTCTAAATCTTCAGTTGTTCCCATGGAAAACAGTTTGGCTTGTCAAGAAGAGGTTTGTTCACCAACAGAATCTACAGCCGATAAGGTTCATATGCAATCTGAATTGCCAGCAGATTGTACTGGTAACACATGCTGTCTTACTCCCTCATCCGAACAAAAAGCAAAACAGACTTCTAGTCATCCTTTATTACCTTCCTCTTCAAGGAAGACCCCACCGCGCTCTATAAAGGTTAAGGTGTGCACGGCCTGTCCTTGTGGGACTGTTTTAGGGGCTGCTGAAGCCAATTCATCCCTCCATTCACGAGACAGACTGAATCCATGTACTGTTGTTGAGTCACACAAAGGGACAAGAAGAAGCTGCTTGAATAAAACCCCAGGAGAGAGTCACCAATCTCAGAAACTTCAACCACAAAATAAAGATCTTGTTAAGAAAGCAGGCAAGAAACGGTCATCAGGAAATCCACGTAAAAACAAAGCTCTGTTAGAAAGCTCTACTAGTGACACGTCACACATCTCCTCACCAGTGAATGTGTGTTCAAGTGCTCCCTCTTCATCCAGTTTGCAGGACTGCAACAATCAGATTGAACTGTCCTCAGTCAGAACAGAATGTGGTAACATGACAAGCAGCAACACAGATGCTGAAACATCACAGCAAGACACCAGCCAGGTGCAAACAGCATCAGAAAACCCCAGCATGTCATTCTCTAAGAAACAGCAAGGTCACAAAATAGACATATTTCCAACACAGTCACTGTACACGTTGGAGACGCTGGATGCTGAGGAGATAAAACGGCGTGAGAGAATCAAACGTTTGAAGGATCTCCTGAAGGAGAAGGAGGCCGCGCTGGAGCAGATGCAAAGAAGCATGAACATTTAGTCTCTTACTGTTTAAAAGACTTCAAAGACTGTACACTGCATGGCACTGAATATGAATGGGAATACCACTGATTGATGTACAAGAAAAAAAAAATGTATATAGTTTGTACACCATGTTTATTTACTGTTTCCCCTTTTTAATGTTTACCAGATCTCAGAGTCATGATGTTTTATTCAGCCTTTGCCTTCTTAAGCATTGTGTTGTCTTATTTATAGTTGTTTGCGGTACATTTAAGCAAATTTAGATGTCATCATATCATTTTCACATCTTTGTATGATTTATGTGCCTTTATCAATACTTTAGTATTGTAGTTAAATTTGTAGTTTAACAGCCTCATTTCATAACATATTCAGTAAGTAATTCAATAATTATTCATAAATAATTCATATTCAGTAAATAATTCAATGCACTTTTGGGAAATCTTGTTTGCTGTCCAGCTGAAACTTTTTGAACTCAAGAACCCAGTAAAATTCTACATTGTGAAAGATGAACATACTGGTTCAATTATTCTATTTTTATAGTCATCCACAACTATTAAACTTTATGAAAAATTTGCTTGCATTCTTGCTTGTTATTTGCTGAATTACAATTTCTTGCTTTTTCATGCTTCAGATCCCTTAAAGTTATTTTGGTCAGAATTGTAATTGTTTACTTTTTAAATTCTTAGCCTCTAAATGTATAAACCCATGTTCAGCTCAGCTGTCATGCTGTATCACACTGCTTGTAACAAAAACATGCTGGAAGTGTTATCAGATTCCTAATGGTGCAAATGATTTGAAAATGAACATCAGACACTGGATTTGCCATTAACCTTTTATTTGTATTTATAACTAGGATGCACAGCATGTTTTGTGATGCAACAAATGTTCTGTTGTGTTATTCATATATAATGGCCATATTACATTAAAATCAATCACCCTAAAAGTTACTGAAACACCCAATAATGAATAAGGAATATCATCAGAAATCAGTCTGACATGTCGTCTTTAGAGGGATTCTGTTCCACAACTGATTTAACATCCGCTCATTTTGCATTTCAAGTGGCCAGATTGGGGGAATGATTTGGATATGTATTTAGGCAAGCAAACACAATTTAAGGAGGTTTTATTTAGGGTGATCTATTTGAGTGTTATTTTTATGTTGGACTGGATGAAGTATCATACAGAAGCAATAGTTTCTAATAATGCCACTGTAGAAATGTGATATTCACGGCCAGCCATGATAATTCAGTGTGCCCAATAACAGAGGGATAAAAAGATAACAAAATAAAATATACTCTTCACAACTTATTCATAGAAATAATGCTGACTGCATATGGCCTTAAAGAAACAAAGCTTTATTTCCAAGCATTTATACTGTTGCTCCAAACAAGATGATGCATTGTAAACACTGAATTATTTTAATATTAGTACGATATAGTAAAATGCTTGTATTGTAATAGTTATTGTACACTCATCAGTTTCTGCTAATGATCCGATATATATGCTCTTGTGTAATGTTACATACATAATGACATTTTGTGTCAGGAGTGTGCAGTAGACACTCATCAGCAATTTCTATACTATATTGATTATGCTGCATGAAAAGTCCATAAATATTTCAGACAACAGCCAAAGAAACAATTAAGCTGTCAGTCAATGATGCCAGTGTGGAATAGCAATATGACCACTTCAACACTTCCCGCTTGCTGGCAGTTTAGAATTTTATGAGCAATCCAGTCATACATATAGACATTTATACTGTTGCTCCAAACAAGATGATGCATTGTAAACACTGAATTATTTTAATATTAGTACGATATAGTAAAATGCTTGTATTGTAATAGTTATTGTACACTCATCAGTTTCTGCTAATGAGCCGATATATATGCTCTTGTGTAATGTTACATACATAATGACATTTTGTGTCAGGAGTGTGCAGTAGACACTCGTCAGCAATTTCTATACTATATTGATTATGCTGCATGAAAAGACCATAAATATTTCAGACAACAGCCAAAGAAACAATTAAGCTGTCAGTCAATGATGCCAGTGTGGAATAGCAATATGACCACTTCAACACTTCCCGCTTGCTGGCAGTTTAGAATTTTATGAGCAATCCAGTCATACATATAGACCAGTGGTATAGACCTTTTATCAGAATTTCTTTCATATAGATCCATCCAAAAATAACTACAGTTTATATTTGTCAAAAAAGAAATCTAAAATTAAAATTAATTAATGGCATGGTGGTCTCCACAAACTGTTGCCAGGATTTCAGAATGTGGCTACTCAAAATGATGCTACTTGTCAAGTGCCCTGTGTTGAGGCTCCTGGATAAACGTCACTTTTTTCTTCTGCCAGACATAAGAAGAAAAAAAAACACTTTGAATTTGAAATGTGCATTCTTTACAATTTTACAACATATTAAATTATTATTTTTTTTTATTTTATTTTTTTGAGGAAAATTATGAGGCCTTTATCAAATCAGGTCAATTAAATTAACCGCACAGGGTCACCAATATATTTAAAATGACAAAAGGCTGCTGCTACAAAAAAAAAATAGTTCACTTACCATTATTGGCCTTCTGAACTTCAGAGAATAAACTTCTGTAGAATTCTGCTAAGGAAGCTGCAATTAAATCTACAAGACCATATATTTCCTTTGGCTTCTGTTCACATGTGACATCTTTTACAGGACTGCCATCTTCTGCCTGAATCTCATTTCTGGCTGCACAGCTTAAGAAAAATGACGACAATACTGAATGAATAACAGATAGAAATTCAAATCAGACATTGCATAAATAACACTTCACCTACTCTGTCCATTTGGTGCAGTTCAGCCCCGATGGAGAATAAAACCCTGAAGCGCAGTCCACACATTCTGTATCCGATGCCTTTGTCCCTGCAAGCAGATACAGAGACCGAAAAGATCAGAAATACACCTCAAAATGTGGGAAGACTTAAAAACATTATAGGCTTACAGACTGC